CTTCCTGCGTGTGGATTCAGTGTAGCTGGCCTCTGGGGGATCACCATGGTCTGCATGTGCTAAGTGTTAGATCTGGCTGGACATAGATCCAATGGATGGATCTGAGAACGCATGATGGTCCTTTGAAGGTAAGGCGCATGGCATCCTGCAAAGCATGTTAGGAAAATAACAAAATGCCTGGACCTGGGATCAAACCCAGGTTCTTCCTCTTACCAGCATTACCTTTTGCCATTCGTGCTACATTGTTTATTTGTTAATATAATAACATAATGAAATTATAAAAGAAACAAAATGCTATGCCTCAGGAAGCGCGCGCAATTTAAATCCTCCAATGGTTATCAACCACGTCATCGTCTTCTCCCCAGAACTGTTGTCTTTGATACCAGACCTTTACCTACGGACAAAATTGTCACTAAAGGCTATAGTGACAGTTTTTGTCCATAGCTATAACCCTGCAACATTCAAAAATGTAATACAAGCCATATAAATCCTAACTAAGGGCATAGATCAACTAGAAATTATGCCCTGAGTTCATTGGTACCCTTGATCTAACCTAATTTCTCCTCTATAGAGAATCCCCAATTTGAGACCTTGAAACCCTAACAATGGCATCGTGCCATTCCTGCAGCCATACTCAGATTAAACCATCCAGAAACATTACAAATGTGATATTAGACATGAATACATGATTAAAACATACTTATGATGGGTAAACCATTGAAATTGAAACTGAGCATAAGAGGCAAACCGTGATGGATGTTGAACGTGATTCTTGATGCTTTAGAGCTTAGAAAGGGATGAAATCGTTTCAATGAACGTCCATGAACGTGATTTGATCCTTGGAATGGCTTGAATCGGCCTGTAGAGATAAATTTAAGTCTCAATTTTCTTTGAAAATTTTGAAATTTATTTGACTCCTTGAGGCAGGCTGCGCGTCTGTGTTCTTCTGTTAGGGTTCATAATACCTATGTATATGTATGTGAATCAAATTAGGGTGTTGTTTTTGGCAAAAATCAAAGATATGAATATACTTTCATTATGCTTCAAATCTTTCCAAATTTGGAGATTTCCTCTCTTCTATGGCTTGATGTGATTTTCTCTTCATTGGACAGTTCATGAGATACTCAATCAATGCCAAAACAAATCTTATGCCATTTATTTGATTTATTTTTTATTTTATTTAATTTTATTTGAATTTTAAATAAGTAAATAAAATAAATAATTAAATGAGACATGGATTGGTTCATGGGTCGTGGACCAGGCTAGGAGTAAGATGAAAGTATAAAAAGTTTGGCCCATTTGAAGAAAAATGCATTTTGGGCATGGTTTACTTTGTGCAAATTTCCAAAAATGGCCAACTTTGACAATGCACATCTCTCTCAATTTTGACCCTAAGAGGGTGTTCTTGGACTTTTTAGAAAGCTTAGGATGTCCTCTACACAACCCTTTTGGTTTCATCTCCATTAGGTCTTCCATGTTCATGTAAGAAGCTTTGACCCAAAATGTGTTCTTGTTGACTTTTGAAAATGACCTATAATGTCTGATTTTATATCTTTCCATGAGTGCATTTCTTAAACTTGAGGGATGAATAGAAGTTGTAGGGAATTGTATTCTCTTCAAAATAAGCCTTGGATGATAAATTTCTGATAAAATATGAGAAAGTTATGTCTGGTCAAAGTTTGGTTGATTTTTCCTGCAGAAATCCTAATTTATCAACTTTTGAGTTTTGATGAATTAGGAACATTCCTTGAGGAATCATGGTCAAACCTTGATCAAATGATAGATATCACTGCAAAATGTTGATGTTGACCAAAAATATTGAAGTTTGACTGTATGTGGGTCACAGTTGACTTTTGACCTAGTATAGTTAATTTTCAGGCATTTGAGCAGTTGACTGAGCAAACTTCTTGTGCAAGGCATGAAACTTGACATGGATGGTCTTAGAACATATTAGGACCATGGAAAATATTTGAGATCTTTGGAACTCACACATCTTGATGAGGAGTGAAACCCTAATTGGAGATTTATTGCTTTAGGAGAGAGTTTGTTTGGTCAATCCTTAGACAAACTTGAGCAGTTGAGGATCTCTAGAGGCATGCCTTTGAGTGAAATGAGAGGAAAAGTTTTGGGGTACAACAACATTCATGCATTTACCATACACACCATTGTAGATATGGTCAGAAGCTTTACGTCCTACTTCACCATGGTTAGAAAAGCTACTTCTGAAACTAGCGTTGAGCATCAAGTTTCACATTTATAATCATAAGCATCCCCCAAAAGCAACCATCAACTCGCATGATGTTACAACATCATTTTAGACATCAAGCTCTTATCACAGAAACCATTCACTCTGGTTCTTGATCTATCATCCATATAACTTTTTATGCTTAGAAGTCCTTCTTTCAAGTTATACAAGAGGACATCAATAGGACACAGCCTCTGCAGTTTATTCAAGTTATCACAAACATCAGAAAACCATGGAGACAAATAAACTCCCATACACTTTCTGAAGCATAATGTTCAGACTACAATTTTGCATCAATACATTAGACAAATACACAAATCCCTTCTTTAGGTAGGAAGATGTCAGTCACATGCACAACCACATGAGAAGAATATTTCCAAGCGTTCTTTCCTTGGCAGTTTCCCTTAGAGGTATAATCAGCAGATAGGGTTACCTCCTCACAAATGGTAGACCATTTGGTCTGACATCCTTCTTCTGCAATCCACTACCACATGTGGATTCAAACAGTTATGACTGATATTCACTCCACAAACCACTCGTTGCTTGACTTTATACTCCACCATGAACTTCAAGAACAACTTCCTTTTCTGGAGAAGTAATCATTGAGATGATGTTCCAACATCAATTCATACATAAATCTCAATCACAAGATTTCACCATTTACTATGGTTCTGGAGGAAACATCCATAGTAACCCATTACCACATAATTGACAAGTTGGGAAATTTCCAGTAGTATACCTTCCCCTGCCTCTATTGCGACCACGAGTGAACCTTCCTCTACCATGATTGCCAGCATAAGCTCCTCTGGAGCTACTTTCTTCTTGACTTGTGTGAGCTACATTAGCTGCTATAGTGATAGCAGCCAGCTCCTGATAAAACTTATCCATTTGAGCCTCTTGCACATACAACAAGGACTCAACATCACATAGGATAGGAGGTGTATGGCAATCATACATCTGCATAACAAAGGGATTGTACTCCTCTGAAAGCCTTTACAAGATAGAATCTATTTGATCTTGTTCAGAAGTTGAATCTCCAACAGCCAACAGAGAATTATCTATAGCTTTGATTCATAAAACATACTATGTGATAGATTTGTTCCCTTTCTTGGTGGATTTGAGCTCAACACGCAAGTGTCTAACCCTATCCTTCATCTGAGCATTAAAGAACTGATGAATCTTGTCTCATACTTCTAAAGCATATTTACACATAAGAATTCTAGGCAACACAGATTATGAAATTGTGGATAGAAGCCATATGAACACAGCTTGATCTTTAACTAACCGAGCTTCATATTCATCAGAAATCGTATCTGTGACACGATCTTGAGCAGGCTTAAACTTTTGCAGAATCTGCGGAGTCACCACAACTTTATGCATCTTTTGAGATAAAATCGCACCTTCAACTTGCTGATTCCAGAGAAGGTAGTTGTTTTTCTGCAGCTTAATCGAGAGCTTTGGTCCAAAGAAATTCGTAGATTTGGTTGTACCAAAACCGATTGATACTTCTTGAGACTGTGGTGGATCTTTGATAATGGATTCTTGATTTTCGTCAAACTCCATTGTTGAACTTCAAGAGAAGAAGACGAGAGTGTGAAGATTGAATGAATCAAATCAAAACAGTGACTCATGGAAGCGGAGATGATCGAGAAGCGAATGATATCATGTTAGAGTTACTGCTGCAACACTCTCCACTCTAGGAAGATCACTACTAAGCTATTCAAAAGAGAGAGTGAAAAGATAAGATGAAAATAATCTTAGGATTCAATCATTGAAAGCCAACTATACATAGTGAAGAGTATATATATATCCTACTCAGTTCTGATATGCTTAGCTGTCAAGAGTGTAACTAACTAATCCTAACAGAATTAATTACAACCAAAGAACTAATACAAGCCAAAGTAACTACTAATTAACTGTATGAAGTTATATCACTAACATTGGAACACAAAATCCGACAGTAATATGCACGAATTTATGATAATTATCGTTACCCTGTTCTAATTCTAACACTGTCAACATGGTGTAGGGATATTGAGCAAGTGAATTAATTAGCTCGAAAGTTTCAGGCATATTTTCTTCAACATTATAATGGAATAACATGATTGAATTCGCAATTAACGTGATTTGATTTGGAGGGTCCACGTCCAATTTTATCAATTTTATAGAATTGAATGTCTATGATTGATCTTCTTGATAATGTTTCCCATGCACGAATATTTTGCTTTTCATTTCAATTATGATGTTTGTTCAACCCAATCTAATACTTTTAATCAAAAACGCATGGCATCACAACTTCTTGTCTAATTAACATTACATATACAAATCTAAGGAGAAACTTATTTTGACACCATGCAGGTGTCTCACACCGGATTTTAATAAGGTGATGGTTTATTATAT